GAACAATAAACTATATTTAAAACACGTCAAATTAGACGAGCATTCTATTACTACTATAATTTGTATCCAAAAGTATTAACCACTATTAGGAAGCTTTTATAACTTTCTCAGTGTACTTTTTTCCAGCTATATAGTAACAGGCAATACGAACGGTGATATATTTTTTTACGATAAATCATTGTGGGTACTGTACCACTTGAACATGTTTGTAGGTGATCCCATTTCTTGCATTGATGCAATGCTTGACACTCAAATGCGTGTAGAAAATGGTTGGTATTAATGATCTAGTTTTATAATGTATATGTTTCCGGAGTTATATTCTCAGATGTAGTATAATAATACTTTACCCTAGTGAAAGGAAATTTAAGTACGCATGAAAATTCAGAAAAAGAAATCTTGCTCGTTGATGACTCTTTGTCGTGGTGTGACAATAGCCCCGAAGTCGGTGTCGATTTCACCACCAATCAAGATTTTACATGCAGACCATTTTACATAAGTAATCATACTTTATATTTAACTACGCACTACGTAAATCAATCAGAAGAAATTATTGCTCATTAAGTTGCATATTTGTAAATGTATCTACATTAGGCACGAGAAACTGTAAAATTTATCACATCGATATTTCCAACAAGAGTTTTGATTATATATTTGAACAGTGTGAAGTGGAGTTAATTACCGCATTAGAAGTAAGAAACCGGTAAGAGGGCGCATTTTTGGTGTGTATATTTTACGACGGTACTCACAATGCTATAATAGAAATTATGTTATTCATATTAATATAGAAATGAATTAATAATGGGTAATTCAATCGGAGGACTCGTTAAGTATAACTACAAAGAGAATAAAATTATCAATAGCGTAGTCGGCGATCAGGAAACTATAGAAGACCATCGAGTCACTTGTATAAAATATTCTCCAAATGGCATGTATTATTTGCACGAAAAAAACTAAAAATATATTTATTTATATACTATAATATAACCACATAGTTTTATTATACGATTGAGATGCTCTTCTTTTAGGATTTTATCTTTGTTACGGTCGTGCCGATGGATTATTTCAGTTTATTGATCCTTCAAGCTTAACAAAATATACAATAAATAACAAATCATTTAAGTGGAACAATTCAGCAGTTAAACACATAACGTTTAACAAGTCTTCAACGTATGTGGCTTATACTGTAAGTTTTACTAATATGAAATTTTATTTAAAATGCAATGTATGCTGTATAAACTACATATGATATAGTATTTATATTATGTATATACATTGTAATTTTATAAATAATATCCATCACGAGTATTTTAAATATTAATAAACTTATATTTATATCGTCACAAATTTCACGAACTTATTAACAAGTGTAAACGTGGGAGTCTAATAAATATTCTAGTTGCAAACATCAATCAAATATTTATTTTTAAGTATGACTTTTATGGTTTTTCATGATTTTTAAAACCCTTACATTTATGGTAAAGCCGTATAGGTAATATAGGACACTTATAATGTAGATAGTAGGCATGTACATCTTTACATAATATAATATAGAGTATAACTATGAGAAAATAAGTAAAATTTCGAAGAAAAATATTGTCTTTTGATTTTATTATTTAATGTATTTAATTTATTATTATGTTTAGATAGTGTTTGATCATTTATTCATACGGGTAGTATACTGGACATTTTGTACATTATAATAATATATAATCTGATTAGTATTACCACAGTCAGTCTATCACAGTGTTTCACAACTTTTTTACTCTGACAACTGGCGATGCACAAATATACGGATATATTTTATAACACATATTAAATTAGAACTAAAAATAAATATTGTCAATAAAATACTTATAAAACATAAAGCACAGATATTTCAATTTTTTAACTGTAATCCTCGTTTATTTGCTTTGCCATAAATGCATGTAAACACATCTTCAAATAATCATTATTAAATTAAGATTTTCAATAGCTTTATTGTCGTTGATGATCTGAAAACATTTAGTTTATCCTTAGACCCTTAGTTAAATAGAATTTGTTACACTATTTATTATATAGTTGTAGAATTTATACATGATACAGAATTATCGTAAATATGTGATATATTTATTATTGAGATTTCTATTTTTTTTTTTTTTTTTTGATGATTTAAATTTTATTTTGGTGACTCTTGGTTTGATAAATACTAATATAATAATATCTCCTATACACTACGATGTTCAAGTTCAAGTATTATATTTTCTGATTTTCAAACATATATTATAATGCTGCAGGACGATTTGTTTGGTATATATCTATATGGCATTATACAACTGCAGGATTCGAACGAATTCACGGTTAAATATTACGGGTGTTACGAAGTTCACGAGGGAATTATTCGAAATATTTTAATAGACGAGTACGAAAATAATAATACGATTTACAGTCTCGGCGCGGATCACAGAATAATCGCATTAAATATCGATAAAACGTAATTATTATAGTACAATTAATCACTACAATAATTGGACGCTTAAACTGAGCTTATTGTTTTATAATAGCCCAATTGTAGTATTAATGACATATATAATTGATATCATGTAAAAACTATATCAATTTTTTTTTATCGATACTCAGATGTGATTGTTTTGAAATTTTTACAGAAAAGATAACATGCATCTCAAACTCGTGAAAATTATGAGAACAGAATCATATAACGAACCTCAATGTATGATGAGATCGAACATAGAAAATGATAAATTTAATTTTATTATTACCGGCAATGATGTACATACCTACATAGCGTTTAATCTATTAACGGTTTACTATAAATTGTTATTTTTTCATTATGTTTTTACGGTTTTATATAGTTACGTATATCCTTGTGGAACGACAAACGGTGCATTCGTACCACTCTAGGAGTCAATCTTAAAAGTCAAATACGAGTAATGAAAGTAAATATTATACTTAATAATTAACAATATTAAGACTAGCAAAATATGGCATCTAAACAGAATAAAGGTACAGTCTCGAACACAAAAAAAATTAAGTTTCTCATTATTTTAAATATTTATTTTATTTTTGAACATTTTTAAGAGTTTTTGAGTCACTTATCGAGTCATTCAAGTAATTCCTGGAATTTTTAAAAATTTTCATAAATATTATATCCCATGTTTCTTGTAATTCATTTGTTTTATCGTAACTTTAATCGCATCACATATTTTATACAATTATCTGTTCTTAGTATTATGGGACGCACGAATTAAACTTGACACTCGTTAGTTTTTGTTTAGATTCTTTTCGAATATTTAATGATGTTTTTAAAGTCATAGTAAGGTGGATATTATTATTATATTTAATTTTCAATTTAAAGTATGCTATAAAATATTAGACTACAAAATTCCCTTGCAATCATTTAAATCTTATTTTATTAAAATAATACAATTTATTAGTATTGCGAAAAATTTTATTTTTACAAATCACAATATTTAAAAATATTTACAATTTCTATGGTATATTTTATTTTTATTTTTCTTAATTTCGTAATGACCGATTTTCTTACGAGAATATCCCACTCCCATGTGTAAAATATTAGGTATATAAACATAATGATTTAAAACGATCCCTATCAAAAACCTTTCGAAAATCGACCTGATCGAGTGAATGTTAATGATATATTCTACCACTGTAAAGTATTCGATATGTTTATTATCAAGTAGTTGATTATTTCAGATATACACAGATGTTAACAAAAAAATTATATTTCCAGGAGGGTCACAAAAAGTTCAACAATAATATATTTTTTTGCACTGACACAGATATTGGAATTTTACGACAGCCTATTGATGGAAACCCATACAAAAACGCGGCAGTGCTTGGTTCCGGAACAAAAGTCAGTTGTCCTTTAATGATCAAATATTAATTTACCTCTACATGTATTTTGAGGTAATAAAAACAGTATCTATGATTCCATGAATGGAATTAGTGTCCCATAATCCAGTAAATTATGCAAACCATTAAGGTAGTGTAATTTTATATTGATCACGTTGTAGCTGCAAGCTGTATGTTTTTTGAATTATTTATTAATTATTGATCTTGTAAAGATGAAAAATAATTATAAGCTATTAATATAATTACGTATTATGTATTTTGTGTTTCAATATATTTTTTTTTTTTTAGATTATCAATTTTGGCGTTTCAATGAGTTGCAAGTATATTTTTGTTATTAACGAAAATAGCTCTTCGATGATAATTTGGTCTGTGAATATGAGGTAATAAAATGCGTCTTATTCAAATAATAATTATACAAATAAAAATACAAAATTAATTGAATATGTTTGCAAATAAAACTTAAAGATTACTTATAAAAATATGCATTTGTACTTACATATGTTATTATGCATAATTTATTTTCCATTTGACTGCAATTTCTTTTACAATAATTTCTTTGTTTCTATAATTTTTTAAGCTCTCGAATAGTCTTTTAATTTATGTATATATATTGTGTATCGATTGACAATTTAGTGTGATCAGTTAAAGGTATGCGCTTTGAAAAAATAATTTTAATAGTTTTCATACTTAACTATCCAACAATTTACGAAAAAAAAGATAACAATTTCAATAAAGCATGATAATCACGACCTAAACGACTCGATTTCTATGATTAGAATCATTTTTCAAATTTGTACGCGATTATTTATATTTATATTTATTCTATAGTATAGAACATATATATATATATATATATATACACAAGTTAAACCTAATAGTTAACCCCTCGGTATATTTTTGTGTAAATTCTAAAAAATATTTTTAATTTTTTGCTAAGTTTTTTAGATGAGTTAGAGAAACACGGTGGTGTTGGTTTAAAACCATACAGTTCTCTTCTAGAAGGCGGTGAAAATGGACTAGAAATTACAGAGTTAAAAGAATATTTTTCTTGTGTTCAATTAGCAAACAGCCGAAATCCAGAAACCACAGTTATCAACAAATACGTGGAAGTTTACAATATCTCTTTTCTCATGAGAGCCATGGGATATTTTCCTTCTGAAACAGAAGTAAATCTGATAATGGGCACAGCCTCTATTTTTGATTATAAAATGTCCATGCAATATATCGACTTTTATCAATTGTTTTTTGCTATACTAGGTTGGTATTATAATAGGTACATAATATACTAATCTAAAATCATAAATCACGTGTTGTATATATATAATATTGTGTTCATAACTATTTATAATACACAGCAAATAAGGGCTGTAATACCATATTTTTTATTGCCTATTAGAATATTATAATATACAATAGTTTAAATAATATAATCGTTTGATACAAATGTATTGGTTATTTTCAGTTGTCAAATATGCTTTATGAATTGTTCAATAGAACAGGCAATCCTACCACGATTACATTCGAAGAATTTGTTATTTTGTATTTGAATTATAGGCCACAATTAAGAATTAAATGTGAAGAACTCCGTGCGGCGTTCAATGAATTAATACAAAATGATCAATTTGTAAATGCTTATGGAGAAAACAACATATTGACAAGGGAATCGTTTGTACACATGATGAAAACTAAAGGTCAAATAACGATCATTAGTAAATATTTTGCCCTTCTAAATAATTTTTGTTATAATTTAGGTGAAAAGATTAACCCTCATGAATTAGAAATTATTTTGAATACATTGCTAAAAACAACAAGAGACATAGGTTCAAATACTAATGCCGACTTGATTCACTTGGCTTTGCCATTCGTACGTATATTTATAAAACACATTTTAAAAATGTTAATATTTAATAATTTAAATTACTATTCTATTTTATATGCTATTTAGTTATCCTGATTTATACTTATCATGACAATACGATTTTATTTAAATATAGCTTTTGTTGATACCTCATACTAGTCATATTTTCTGTCATAGTCATTCCTTTGAGGTCCATTCACTTTTAAATATTGCTAGCTATTCGCTCAAAAACTTAATTAGATACTCTTTATACATCATATATCTACATCAAGTTTGTACAGAGCCACCAGTCTAATTAACGCTTAATTGTTAATTTTTTTTTTTTTTTCATACAAGATGTTTGACTTGTAAGAATATATTTTATAATTGTTTAATATAATATCAAATACTATTGCATTATAATAAAAATATGATTGAGTCATATGTAATGAATTTAAGTTAATAATATTTGTATATGCTAAAATACACTATTTTCATAAATAAAGAAAAATATAAATCATAATTCACAGATTCACAGCATATATTTTCAATTTTTTTTTTTTGTTCTCATAATTATCTATGTATGCAAAATGTTTAATCTATTGAATAGCTAGATACATTAATTTATGTTTAAATTACAGACATACACGTTTGAAGAAATGTTCACTGATTTATTAGGATTCCAAAGTACAGACTGAACAAAAAACGAAAATCAAAATATTTTGTACGTGTCTATGTACTAAATATAGAATAATATGTTACATAAATGCATGGTTGTAATGATTTTTTTCTTTCAATAAATTTTAACTTGTAGAGACTAGAGCCTGAAAGTTTATGCACTAAAAATTATTGAAATATGTAAGCACTTTTTTGGTTAAAAATACTGATATATTACCGTTAATTTATTTTTTCAAATTTATAAATATAAGTAAAAAAACTTTTTAACACAACAATTTTTATTTTTATTATGTAGATTGATAGTTTATTATACATTTCAAAATTAAATTAATAATTTCAGTTATTGAAATAATATGTGTCAAAAATAAATCACAGAATTAGTAACTTCCCTTTAAAATGTTAAAAAAAAAAAAGAAATCTAAGAATTGGTTGTCTATATTCGTTTGCTCATGTTTTAATTTTGTTCATACTACATGACGAATGACAATACACTACACATATTTTAAGCAATGATTTAAAAAAGTCTGTCATCTTTTTAGAACCAACAACGGCAACAACTAAAAACCAAAAATATATGTTAAGTATTAGTATATACTATATTAGTAGTGTTGAATGAGGATTATAATTTATAATGTAGATCGACAAAATATAAAATAACAATACAAATCACAATTATACAATAGATAATATTTCACTATAACTAAAAAAACATATATACCAAAATAAAAGGAAAATTGTCTTCTATAGTTCTATACAATGCAAGTACCTACTATGCTCATTTTTAACGAGAAATTCATGACGTACACATAAACACAATACTAAAATATGCAGTTACAACGTGTATTTGGTTGCCTTGTTTGTATACAAGTCACCTTACGACCCTGTTATAGAAATGCATAACCGAATGATTTACATTTACAGTAGCCCATGTGTTACTATATGGTGTCATATTTTATAATATTTAACAGTTACTAAAATGTTTATTTTTACAAGTATTATAGCTACTGTACAATATTTTTTACGTAAAAATACTTAGATATTCGTGATTGTAATAACCGTTGCTAAAAAATATTTAAACCTACTTTCCCTAATTATCACGGGATTTTACTCTAAATCTCAAACTCATTCGTAATAAATAATACCATTTAGTTTATATAATATGTACTATATATACTCAATGATGATACTCTTATAATAAAATTGTATAATCCCAATGAATAAAATTTTTTCTTACCAGAACATTCCCCGTATCATTTATTTCATTTTTACTCATTTGAGTGATAGGCTTTCAAACTTAGGACACTAACTTAGGACTTTACCTTCATACGTTCTATGCCAGCGTTTCTCAACCTATGGTACGCGTATCACTAGTGGTACGCAGAAAGCTCAAAGGTGGTACTTGAATGAAAAATAAATATTTATCATAAAATAAAATATTATTTCGTTTATTTGATTACTAAACCAAATACGAGTAGTCGGTTTTACTCACGTTAAAGATAGAAATTTAGATAAACAATAATCTCTATAATGTTGTAATGTTTGGTTGATTTATGTTTTAACAAATTGTACATGCTTAATTTTACTCTTGTTTAATAAATCTTAATAATCTATAAATTTTTTTTTAAACAAAATGAAAAAATAGAGTTTTCTAAATTAAATGGTACGTGAAAATTTTCAAGATGTATAGGTGGTACTCGGAAGTTAAAAGATTGAGAATCGCTGTTCTATGCTAATGACCAAAATTTAATTTGGCTAGATCTCTGCTATCTTATGCAGAACCGTATAGGTACGACGGTATATACGTTTACTGTTTCGTTTTCTCCAGGTTTAGGCCTTATTATCATTATGATAATAATATCTAACGCTATAAAATCTTAAAACCTTATGACCAACATTATATTATATCCCTACGCTGTGAAGATAGAACGTCAAATGATTGTAAGAAAGTTTAATAAAATATAGGGTCGGAAACATATATATCACATAAAAATAAACTTACAGTGTTAATCCTCTTAGGTCCGTGTGATAGCTATGTTTGCCTCTCTGCAAACAACTGTAACACACACTCATACTCTCGACTCTCCCCCCCCCCCCGCCGAACTCGACACCAGCAGCGACACTCCTCGTTCGCACGGCAGCGGTGGTGCAGTTTACATAGTATTTTGTCGCCCAGTAGATATTTTAACTAATATTATACTGGGTGACAATGATTTTTTTGTAAAAATGACGATATTTAAAATTCTTGTTTAATTTTGTTATTTATTTATATTTATATCATTTCGTTTGATAACTTTAATTTGGGAGTACAAATAATTATTTAGATTTTCTACAGTAGAAACCCATGTGACCGTTCATCGAAGGTAATCATAGAATAATACAATATGCAAGAAGTAATTTATTCCACGCTACAATACGATATGTTTTATCTGGTTGTCAGTCATCTAGGAAAATATCTACTAATTAATTGTTTTCGATTTTATTTTAGTCCTTGTTCCTACAAGCTATTAACTGAATATTTATTTCACTTTGAATCTTTAAACGTTCAAAATTCAATACATACGACAACTTTTGTGTTTCGGTAAGTGTAAAATAATTTAAGATCTAATTTTTTATACTGAAACTTATAATAATACAGTTTTTTCAATAATTATTGATGTATAAATAACAACAATATTGTTTGAAATATATACTTAAATAATACGTATAACATATTACGTACTTTGTTATAAATCAAAATATATTAATATACAGACAATTTATTTTTGACGGTCAGTAAAAGCTGACTACAGTGTTATAGTATAAAGTTACGTCGTAACACAAATAATTTCAGTATAATACACTAATAACCCAAAACGGGGATATCACAACTATCACACGTAAATAATGTATAGACCAGATAGTGTTTCTCAAACTTAATTTCACCACACTTAAAATATTTCATACTTTGCGACAAGCAATAAACAAATAATAATAGTGGATAAATTTAATTTCAATTGCAGGTAATATACAATTTGTCGATTTATCAGATAACTTATTTTTAATCATCAAAGAAATTATATCAAATAGTTATTAGTTTTTGTAAATCATATTAAAAATATTTGAATATTTTGTGTCATTTAATGAACTTCGTGACACAATTATACTTATTTATGTGTTGTAAGTTTTGATGGTATTGTTAGACATAGGTAAAATTTTGTTTATTTAATACTGAAAAGTTTTTTTTAAACTTTTATGTTGATTTTGATTATGGCGGTGTAACGTGATTTTTTATTAATGTTACCCAGTGATAATTCTTTAAAATATCCCATTATGTCACTTCAGCATAATTTGATTCTCGGGCCTTACGTATGTTATTGGCACGTTAAAACATATTATAATAGTGTGTCCGTATATGCTACATAATATATAATATATATATTATAATATAATGTTAATGTCCGTTTATAGGCCTATACTATACGACATTTCCTATCTCTTAGGAATATTCTAAATTAAATTTTCACAATTATGATTTATGACAGTACTTACTGGGGGAAATAACATTTTATTTCACAAACTTAAAATCTAAATTTTACATTGACTAATGGATAACTAACATTTAATTATTAAATTAAAATTAGACTTGTACATAATATAATGTTGAAGTCACCAAAAATTCTTCTTATTATCCTCTTATATTTTTGTGCATGGAATATTTATCATTAGAATATAATTTACAGTGTTTATAGTTCACTGAAAGTAAAATCGAATAATACATCGAAACAGTACGTAAAAAATAATTGTTTTTCTGGTAAATTTTAGGTCTATAATATTTTTACATCACTGTATTATAATATTATAGTCAGGAGTCGTAACGCAACAGATGAAGATGAGCGATAACGTAATGGTGGCCTTGCGGCCACACCTCCCTACCACCTTCATACGGAATTTTATAACACAAGTCGTTGGATGACATGTAATATATATGCCGCACTGCTACGACGCAATCAGTTCAGAGTCAGCCGTCTGGTGTCTGCATTCCTGCAATCTAAACCTGTTGAACGGGTCGTCACTCGTCTCACGCATATCGTACCGTACGCAAGATATTATAAAAATTAAAAAGTGATTTTCTTTGCCCTGTCACATTGATTTTCGTCATAAACCGCTCGATCTATAAACGAATAACGTTCTACATAAGTCTATCATCTACCTTGGTATAAGATATGAACAAAATACTTAGTACGTTCGAGAGAACCCTGAACAAGCGGACCGCTTTTTCGCTATTCCACACGGCTACAGCGAATCGAGATAATCAATTTCGGTAAGTTCGGAATACGCCTCAGTATATTATTATAATGATATAATTTACATATATATACAAGCATCATATTTAATCATAGAATGACATATACCATTATACTATATTTTTTTTAAACGATTCGTCCCATTTTTTAGATCTACGAGTGTGGTTTGCCCGCCGCAGTTGACTCCGGTTTCAATCGGTTCATCGATCAGCAAGGACGAGTATGAAAAATTCATGGCAGTATTCCCAGAAATTGTCAACGATTTGACGGACAACGACCTTAACTTAGACGTGCCCGACGTCAGTAAGTGGCTCGAAAAGGTATGTGCCGGTGATTTTGCTTTGCAGCAACATATTATCATAATGTATAATGTATATTACAATTTCTTTTATTATATAGCTGTTGCGATATAACGTACCTAGTGGTAAGAATAACCGAGGACTGACGTTGGTACTATCATTCAAGATGTTATCCTCGCCATCTGTCCAGACCAATGAAAATCTTAAATTATCCTATATACTAGGATGGTGTGTCGAAATCGTAAGTCGTTTTGGATTTTAACTGCAGAAAAAAAATTACTATTTAGTACTATTGAATTAATAGTTTTAAATGTTACCAAAATATTAAAAATGAATTTAAAATGTAAAGCTTTTAGTTCACTAAGCAAATGATATGATGATCAAAATATTTAGATAAATTAAAATGTTTGTAGATGAGATCTGTTGGTTCTTATTCTTTTTAAGATGTCAAAAAATAACTTTTCTGAAATAAGTTTTTATTTCTATAATATCCTTATATTGTTTTAGAATTTATATGATTAAAAATTCATTACACAATTTCTGAAATTCATGCTTCTATGTTAAATTATGATGTTATAGGTATCTTAAGTACATTTATTGAATTTACAAAAGAGTTGGTAGAATGGAATAAAAATTAACCACATTTTATTTTAGAATACTTATTATACTTGACATATTGTCTCCGATTATTCTCTCTTTTATCGATAAGAATCATTTTATTTTATTATTTTTAAATTAATTTATTTGATTATAATAATTATTGCCATTTACAATAATTGTTATTAATTATTATTATTCATGGATGGCTTAATAATAAATATAGTTTTTTATACATAGATTCAATTTAAATAATACAAATATTATTTTTTATAGATTAAGGCTTGACTAAATGGATATATATTACCCATGAAATATATTTTTTATACTTGAATTCCATAATATTATATCATTATATACAAAAAATGATTTTAAAGGAAAATGGTCTGTCAGCTTATATTGCTAAATACATTGTACGCTAACTAGTAACTACGCCATACTGCAAATAAATAAATAACCAAATATCTGTTATTATGATAAATATTGATATCAAACGAAACTAATTTATTATGCTATTAATAAAACGGTATATTGATTTAATTTTTGTCAAAAATATTTATTATAGGTACTTAATTATTATAATAATATATAGGTATAAGGTTTATACTACGTATATTACATTATTATTATTAATTTTTGGGTAAAATTAGTCAACACCATCTTACTGTAAAACCGTTAAATAAGTTAATAGTATAAAATATATAGGTAATATTTTAAAATTAATTTACTTATTTTGAAAATTTTGTTACGTAAATTATATGTGAAAGTTAACTCGAATAGTATTTTTAAAATATAACAAAATAAAATATGTATGAAAAAAATGTAATTTTATCAACATTTTAAATTCATATGCTTATTAAAAAAATGACACCAATTATTTTTAGTATATTTTTTACAGGTATAATAAAGTAAAATAAAGCTTTTAAGCGGTCCTTTATTACATTTTCAAAAATATTGACCAATAAATAATAGTTAAATTTTAAATATCTATAAATAACTCAAAAAGAGTCAAAATATTTTAAAAAAAAATTTGAAAATTTTATCATGTAATAATAACATAATTATTTGGTCAAATTTTTCATATACCAGCAGTTGTTTGTTTTTTCATCATTAAAAAATATTAACTTCAATTATGGTTCTTCTAAATTTGGATATAAATTTATTTTTAAACTGAGTTAAATTTGATTTAAAAATAAAAATAATAATATTTTTTTTAACCATATGAATAAAATTTAGCTCATATATTATGATAGAGTAAATATTTTATACTTCAAGATATAATTTTAGACAATTATTTACAATGCCTGTCAATGCAATAGTAATTTTATTTTCAAATATCTATAAATATTCGTACACCTATTAACTACGTATTTCTATTTTTAATTAAAAAATATTGTTATACACAATTGCATTATTTAGTTAGGGTAAGTTAAGAAATTTAAAGTAAATAAACCTACTTCTATCAGGCATCAATTTTTGTGAACTTAACCTTAATTTGTCATTGTTTAGTGATATTACGAAGAATAATAATTGTAAGTACCTACATATTAGAGTATCTATTTAATTGAGAATTAATTAGATAATATTATCTGAATTAATTTTTTGAAGTGTGAAATGCAACGAGTATGGGAAACCAATAAATACACAAATATGTTCATTTTTATTTTAGCTGCAAGCTTATCAATTAGTGTTAGATGACATTATGGATAATGCTATTACCAGACGAGGACGTCCGTGTTGGTATCGACAAAACGATATTAGTCTAATAGCAATTAACGATGGTATTCTCCTAGAACAGGCCATTTACCAATTGCTTAAAAAATATTTCAAGGATAAGCCTTACTATAAAAACATTCTGGAACTGTTCTATGACGTATGTAATAATAAAAAATAGTTTTATATTAATTTTAATGTCGTTCAATTTACACAATTTAAGACCATTCGTTAGACATTTAAAGGCCCTGGGTAAAACCTTTTTATATGGATCATTTTATATCATTGACTGAAAATTAAAAACATAACATTTTATATTATATTCTATACTATTTTAATTGCGGTTTCAGATGTAATTAAAATATAGTAGGGGTTTAGGGCCCTAATCTTGTTTTGAATCGATTTTGACATGAATCAATAATTATAGGTTACAATGAAATCTGCAATGGGTCAGTGTCTCGATATGTTAACTGCGAAAAGCTTCAAGTCTAAAAAACTTGAAAAATACACCATGGATAATTATACAGCTATTGTGAAATATAAAACTGCGTATTATTCATTTTTTCTTCCCGTGTGTCTCGCCATGCATATGGTAAGCACTAAGCACGCAATACGTTTGTGATTTGATCTATAAGTTTATAATATATTGTGTAATAATAATTAATATTGCAGACAAACATAAATGACCAAGAAATATTTAGACAAGCAAAAGCTATATTGCTTGAGATGGGTCAATTCTTTCAAGTTCAAGTATATGCTGTTAATTTAAATCAATTAAAATAAGTGAAGTAAACAGTTTTTATTTTTAGGATGACTTTTTAGATTGCTATGGAGATCCGGAGGTCACGGGAAAAATAGGTACAGACATAGAAGATGGAAAATGTTCGTGGTTGGCTGTAGTAGCTTTACAAAAAGTCAATTCTGAACAAAAAAAAATTATGGAGGTAACATAATATTATGTTACTATAATACTTTATATTATATATTTATATTTTTTGAACGTTTCCCAAATGTTTAATTGTTTATAATTTTAGGACAATTACGGTATTGACGATCCAACCAATGTTGCAGTCATTAAAGATTTGTATGAACAATTGAAATTACCAAATGCGTTTCAACTCTACGAAGAAGATTGTTATAAATTAATAAATTCTCGTATTCAACATTCATCCCAAGGATTGTCACAAGACATGTTTTTCAAATTCTTGGAAAATATTTACCAGAGAACTTTTTAATTTTAAATCTTTACCAATTACATAATATTGGTTAATCGGCATTTATACGCACCTACATTATACATAATAATTATTGTATTATTTAAATTTAGTTAATTAGTTTTATACAGTTTAAAAAAATTAATTTTCTCAAAATATATTATACAGTGCGTCGAGTGAATCATTACTATACTTAATCATAATCATTTTTTTTTATTATTCCATTATTTAACGTACAATATTTACTTACTATTTATAAATAATATAAGTTTAATACCTGTAATTTTTTTAATAATAGCTTTATGACTATATAATAAATACTAAACTATATACTATTTTATTATATCTTATACATTTTATATTTACTTTTTAGTACTTAAGTAATTAAAACTTATGATAATGTTTTAAGATTAGTAATATAACAATACAATATTCTAATTATCTTACAATAAAAGACCATACGTGATGGCAGTGACAATAGAAAAAGTAAAACAACAAAATCTCTTTAAAATAATAAATATTGTAATATAAAGCATTATAAATAACGCTTTACAAATACAAACTCATTGTATTGCGGTTGTTGATGTAAAATTGATATTCCGGTATAACAAACGTACGTATATGAGACAAGCGGAAATCGAAAATCTTAGTTATATTACCTATGCATCCAGATCCGGAAGTAAAAAGGTTATCGAATGTTTACAATATAATATGTATCTATAATATATTTGTTGATCACAAAACAGTTACAAAAACTTAGACTCATTAAAATATGGTCGATAAGGCCAACTTAGATTTAAACATAATAATTTAACAACAATAGACCTCTTTTAAAATAATGTTTACCAATTTTTACGATTACAAAGCTTGAAATTAACATAAATATTTATACATTTTCTATTTGCATTTAACAAATTAATGTGAAAACAATGAAATAATATACCTTGAGTGTTTCTAACGTTTGATATCAATCATCAGCGCTTGCATTGTCGATAACGTTTTTTGTGAGAGCGAAGTGTGAAATATGAACACGTTTCGTCGAATTAGTTGGTCAACAGCCTAACCTACTAAAATAGAAACATCGCATAATACGTCATAGGTCATAGCGTCGCCTTACAAATTGCCTCCTTCCTATACGGCTATAGGTACACACAGGCACGTATACAAAATACAATTGGGGGGGGGGTTACAAAATATAGTAATTCAAATTGTACCGCAACATAATAAAACAATTTCTTCCTCGTTACTCATTATTTTTTAATATGACAATTATTATGCTAAGTATCCAAATTTTATGTATGTCATTTATTCAGAAATAAGTTTATAATAATAATATATAAAATTTTAAATATTATGAACAGAACAAACATTTATTTTATTAGTACCTATGCACATAAAATTACCTATGTAAATTATACTACTAAGTACCTAGATAGAAGAAAAAAATCAAACAATTTATATATAATACATTAAAAAATTTCAAATTAAAGTATAAAATCCCATTTTTGTGGTAACTTAGCAAATCTATCGATAAATTCTACCACATTTAAATCAAAATGTCGGTATATGTTTAGTAGTGCCAATCCAGTAAGTTTAATTTCTCTTATACCTATTGTATCATAAGTACGTTTTAAGTTTTCGTAGAGTTGAGAATGACCGTTCGCAGTAACATTTGTAGGTAATAGATAATGTGGCCAAAATGTACCTTACAGTCAGTGGCGTATTTACGGAGGGGGTTCTCGGGTCTTGACCCCCCCCCCCAGAAAAAAATAATATTAATTTATATTATGTGTTTTTAATGTTTGTATTACAATATTTTTAAAAATAACTTGGGTTTAACTATTAATTGACATTTATTTTCATAATAATAGTGAAATATAATATAATATAAATAATATCATTATTAAATCATAACTCGTATGTATTTTATTATAATGTTTTAAACTTATATTTAATATTAAGAACACCCCCCCCCACAAAAAATTGAAAATACACCACTGCTTACAGTAATGATTTAATAATACATAAATTAGCAATTTAATAGGAATTTTTGGTCATCGATTGAGATATAAGAAAAGATTATTGACAAAATGTGAGTTTTCTAGGTATATAAGGCTTATATCGCAATGTTCAGTTCTCACACATGCGTAATTCTCAGTAATCAGTTTACACTTTTTTGACTATAATACTAGATTATAAACTTGTATTTCATACCCGACTAATATAAACATAAGAAAACTTATCAATAGCTAGTAATAAAAATATTTTATAATAATAGGTGTATAATTTGACTTAATTTTCAAAGAAATTATTTCTGGGGGGGAGGTTGAACCCTAAACCCCCACTGTATACGTGCCTGGGTATACAATGACAAAAGTACTATATACGCCATCAGTTCGTTTAATTTATAAAATATTATTCTTACATATAACTTATAAGTATTATAATCAGTGAGGCGACCGTTCCCTCCCTAATTTATAAAAAAATGCTATGCCCGTAGATTGTAGTTCTTAATAATTAAAAGTTTTTGTTACTAGTGTTACTACAGTATTTCTTTGACAGTGTATTAAATTGAAAAATATTAGATATGAATTATGATATTATTTTTTTGCAGTATCTGTACCTATGTTGTTTTTTCAAAACGATTGCGTTTATCGGCCTTGGAGATTTTCTATTTAAAAGTTTCTCGTTGATACAACTGCCGTCTGACGAGTGATGACTACCGACGTTAGCGCACTTATCAGTTGGTTGAAATTTGAAATTATAATACAAACCCGCTTAATTTGTAATATGTAATAATAATAATAATAATTTGTAATATATAATAATAATAATTTGTAATATATAATAATAATAATAATTATTATTATTATTATTATGATACAGATGTAATACCTGACACGTGTAGCATACATCATACGATGAGGAATGCCTGTAATAACGATTTATGATATTTTATATATTTTTTAAATATTATTAGGTAATTGTTGTTCAGAGGACCGTTGTCTGTGAGTCGTGGTTTGGAGATCCCTAACAAGTATCAATCAATATGTACCCGAAAACAATTTGTTTATTGTTAAGTTCTTTCTACATTAAACATTTTACACTAGTCACTAGATTTAATAACATACGGATACCATATTATTCAAATAAATAGCTATAGCGAATCAGAAATCGTAATTACTAATTTCTTTATAAAAAATATTCAGTTATTTTATTTTTTGTATATTTTTTTACACTTACCGTGGTTCAATTCTGTTCAGACCATGACGTGTTAATATTATTATCAGTTTATCACTTTAGCGATGAGCGGTCGACGGTCGTGAAAGCGTTTTAAACCATCGTGTGATAATCTTACGCAATACGCGTCGTTTTTTTTTTTTAAATAGTTTCACGAACTAAGAAATGAATTTTATCGACGATAGCATCTTAAATTTTTTTAGTTGGAACAACTAACTATTGACGTATTTTTTTTAGTCGATAGTCTTAATTATAATCAATTAGTCCAACGTTGGTTAGTTAAGTGGTCATGAGTAATGATCAACAGTAATGATATGGTGAAAATACAATAATATGGCAATTAACTTAAATATCGACATATCGGCCGGTCTTACGCGTATTATTATGTCTAGTTTGTCTTTAAATGCATTTTTGACATAACCAACGATAAGCAGCGTTGCAGCGAATTGACTACTACCGTCATAAGCGTATCATTACATTGTCAAAATACCTTGTTAGTTGTTATTTCATCATGGTGTCATGGTACCTAATAACGAGGAAATACGGATTAAAAATATGTTTATAGCGTTATTTTCTGTATGAGACGAGAGCACGAGACCATTAAGTACTATCGTCCAAAATGGATATTACGTGGACAGATTTTCATTTGGATGAAAATATATTTTATTTTCACAATGCTGATCTAAAAAGTTTGACGTTTGTGCTCGATAGTGATACAAAAGACAATTTTTATTTGAACCTTTTAACTGTTAGTATTGCTATTGTCGTATTTATAATTATATGTATTACGAAGTAGAGAACAATTGAATTATTTCCTATTTTGTATTATTGATTATACATTTTGCTCTGAATCATACGTGAAATATGTATTTCGCTGAGTTCAAGGAAATAAAAGCATAATTTCTATTATACATATTAATTTGATTAGGTATGGGGGTTAACATAATAATTTTAAAATGTTTTTTTAGTTATTGCTCTTTTTATAATGTTATAGTGTAATACTTTGATTTAACTTAGTTGTTATTTAAACACATTTTTTTTTAAATATTGTATTTGTAAAAACCAATGATCAACAATACATTTTATAATTTAATTGATACCTTAGTGTTGTACTTAGTTACTAATTGACCTTTTTACTCCTATTTGTATATTATATTTTCAGTAAAAACTATTTATATTAATGTTGTTTTATTAACTTTTATGAAATTTTATTTTAACAGAAGTCCTTGGCAAATGTATTAGATGCACCAAATGATCATTCAATGGTGCTTGCAGTACCAGGAAAAACTAATTATTTTCATCCAAAGATCCCAGCGTTTGATGTTAAATATATTGACAATTGTATTAAAATCAATGACTTTCCTGATCCAACCAAATATTTGTGAGTATTACTGTTATTATTCTTTTCTTTTTTTTTTAATTAAATATAATTTATTGGCATTAGAAGAATAATTGAAATATATCACTATAAATCGCATATTCTTGATAATTATAGGTATATACTCAAAAATAGCTAAGCTTAAAATATATGTTAGTAGTTGTAACGGTATTTAAATTTCTTGTCAGAGCATTAAAATACTATGATTTCAAAGTTATGCATTTACTTGACTTTTAAATTGAAATAATTATAATAATAATAATTTTTTTTTTTAGTATGATTATTTGGAAAATAATATAATCTAAAATAATTATTTAGAACAGTTCTATCAATTTACTTGTGCACCATTCCTTTAAATTTATTGTTGTTATGACATAATCTTTTTTTGATTGTAAGTGCAATGAAAAGTGTGTAATATATATGGTAGGATCTGTATATAATTAGAATGATAAATAATAATTTTTTGTACATAAATTTGTATTTTATACATATTATGTATGATGATCATCAACATTTGATATATACATATAAAAATAAATAATATAGTAAAATATTTTTGATACTTAATATTGAAATTCATTTTTTATTTTTAGAATTAAGAACACAAGTACTGCAAATTATACTAAAGATCAAATATTTGATTGTTGGCTACATCAAAATCAATCATGGTCTGATTTAGTCTCAGTTTCGGAAAATCAAAAAAAGTAATGATTATAAAACCAAAATCAAATTTTATAATAATCTTTATTTTTAAGTTTTTAGATATGTTTTGTTGTTTTTGTATTTAAACTTAATTATAAATATATAATAATTATAGTTGATGTTTTATCCTAAAACATACGTTTGTTAATCAATAGTTATTATTACATCTGTGTCATGAAATGGAACCATACTTTCTGCATTTTATTTAATTACACAATATTAATAGCATTTTACAAAATAGATAACAAAAAAATTTTTAATTTAAAAAGTATGTAGATTACGTTTAGTGAGGTATTACAATTTTTTAAATCTTAACAAATACTGTTGTTTTATTTATCACTATTTCCATTGTGATATATATGATAAAATTACCTCTCAATCATATGAAATTTATTTTTATATAAACATATTTAAAATACATTTATCAAAAAAAAAAAAAAATTAGTTAGTTAAAAAATAATGTACATTTTATTATATTTTTAATCTTTACTTGTATATTATTATTGTCTGAAAATTATTTTTATTTTAGCTCTGGTGAAGATTCTGATGATATATTTTCTATAAATTTACATTTAGCTACTACTTCTTTAAGCGGTTCATCTTTAAAAAAGTAAATATTATGCATAATATATTTATCATTGTATGTAAGTTATTTGAAAATATAAATTTAATAATGTTAAAATCATTTTTTTAAAGCACAAGAATACCCTATTCACATAAAGAAGATGTCAGTATTGTAAAATACATTATCAAAAATAAATATGCTTTCAATGTTAATGTGGTATCAATGTGGCAACGTATGGAACATGATAATGTAAGTCAATGAAATGTATTTGAAGTTATAACTTTAGTATTAATTTAAAAAAAAAAAAAATATTTTGTTAATCTCGTGATTTTCCATTTTTATTTATGGTGTGAATTTAAACTTAATTTACTTTCAATACATTTTTAATTTTTTATAATTTAGTAATAATCACAGAAACAAAAATAATGTTTCTTCAAAATTTGTAAAAAGTCATATTTTTTATGTTTCAGGTATGTAAATATCGTTCATGGCAATCGATGAAACAGAGATACTTAAAACATATTAAAAATGATTTAAATTCTAAAAAACATAGTTTTCCATTTCTCACTCCGAAAAAATTGCAAATATTACAACAAGGGTATAGCTTATTTACATATATATATATATATATATATATATATATATATATATATATATATATATATATATATTTAGGTATTAATATAATTGTTAATTTATATTTTAGCTTAAGGTATGGAAAAAAGAAAAATATTGATAGAGAAGCAATCAAATTGAGATGCAATAAAACTCGCAATTTTTATGGGTCAACTACAGATAGCAGTTCCTAATTAATTTCTTTAGTAAAAAAATATACAATTATAATTTACTATAGCAGAGGTTCCCGAACTTTTCACGGTACAACCTATTTCAGTAAATGTTTTAATTTTGGCAATTCACGACATACTAATGACCTTTATTTTTACCATTATTGATCGTTATCTTTAATCTAACAGCAATGTGGTGTACTTAATCTTTGTGAATATTGATATAAGATAAAACTTAATTCAAATGTGGAATGTAGTTGGGGCAAGGAAAGTACTGTATCATATTTATTAGAATTTACTAGTATTATTTATACATAAAATGTATCTGTTCTTTATGTGTATGTGTTTGGTAATATGTTATGATATATTTAAATATTATATTACTATAGAATATATATATATATATATATATATATATAATAAAAAATAGATATATTTTATGTATAAATATGTGGAGCCTCTGTAAAATAGTATTTATTTTCTGTTTAGCATTAAGGATTGGATTTTTGATACTAACCGTGCCTAGTTACAGGTAATTTTTTAAGTTTATATAATTGAAAAATTTAAATTTGTGCATAGTAAATGATCATTAGTGTATATAAAACAATAATTAGTAGAGCACTCCTGTATGTGCATGCTTATGTCAATAACATGTTTTGCGAGTATTAATTATTTTATTGTTTATTTGTTGTTGTTTTAAGTATCAATCTTTCACCAATCATATTAATCAACCTATTATCTTTTACAATTTCTGAAAACATTTGAATTTTTCTTGAAAAAGTATAAAAATGAATGTTTATATTTTTAAATTAATGAATTTATTTCAATATTATCAACAATTTAAAATACTAATACTTAAAAATCTATTAATGAAATTTTGTTTTTAAATAAATTTCACGATGAGTTTTATTATATTTTTAGAAGTTTTATCAGATGATTGGTCTATTTTAGTAGAAATTAGAGGGAATTTTAGATCCAAAGTATTAATATTTTTTGTTTGCACTGCATTTTAATTTTTAAATGCTTTCAGTATCACATTTAGAACGTTGTTATGTTAAATCACAATTAAAGCTCAAAAATTATAGAAATTGTATTATAGATATTATCTTGTATTTTAAAATGATATATTTGATTTCCCAAACTTAATAATAATAAAACAATTATTTATTTTTTGCAAGTACAAATGCATTTTTATTTCTTTATTAAAAATACTTATTTTAACTTAGCTTTTTTGTATGTATAATACAACAAAACAACAAAATGTATACAAGTTATAAATATACCTAATATCATATTGTCAATTGAATAGATTCCAAGACTTAAATCATGAGATTTACCGGATTGATCACTTAAAGTGTATTACATATATAAATCATGTTGTTACTACTATTTATAGAAACATGTTCGATTTGATAATGTCAAATAATAAATACAGTCGACTCTCGGTAACTCGAAGTTCAAGGGGGAAAAAAAAATTCGACTTACTAAAAATTTCGAGTTATCAAAAACTTTTAAAAAGTATGTTTATTTTTAAATTAAGTATTATACATTAAAAAAATTAAAAAAATGTTTTCTTACATTCCTACTTACATATTATTATCATTTTTAAAAAATTGGTGTAAAGTTAATTGTTTTTGTTTATTTAAAACATTGTTCTCAATTCTATTTTCTAAAGTACCTAGTGGTTTAAATAAATCTTCCATACCTTCATTGCCTTCAATATATTTACGTAATGTTTCTAATGCAAGTTTCGCTTCTTTATTTGTAATGGTGGATTGTATTTGTTGGTCTTCAATTTCTTCTTCGTTATCTTCGTCTAATATATCGGAGATAATATCGTTCTCAGTCCATTCTCCACAAATCTCCAAATTTTCATCGACATTGACGTATGACGTAAAAGTTTCATTAAGATTTAATTGATCCCATTCATCGTTATTATCATCAGAAGGTTCATCTAGAATATTTTCAGTCGAAGTTCTAAAACCTGATTTTGTAAAACAGTTTACGATCGTTTCTTTTTTTACGTGTCGCCATGCTTTATCGCATAGCCGTATAGCATCCAATATGTTTATTACAATTTGATTGGTATCATTTATAGCCGATACAATTTTTTTTACCATTTCTTTTCTGTAAAATATTTTAAAATTATTTATAATACCTTGGTCTAATGGTTGTAATACAGACGTAGTATTAGGAGGTAAAAACTGCACTTTAATAGCATTAAAAGTCGAGGTTAAATTGTGTGCAGTACAATTATCAATAAAAAGTAAGATTTTTCTTTTTTCGGAGACCATTTTTTTATCTAATTTCATTAACCACAAATTAAAAATTTCAGACGTCATCCAGGATTTTTTGTTTGCATAATAATCTAATGGTAATGATTTTATTTGTTTAAAACATCGTGGTTTTTTCGACTTACCAATCAGAAGTGGTCTTAATTTTTCTGTGCCCGACATATTTGCCCCTAACAGAAGTGTTACTCTTTCTTTACTATGTTTTCCACCTGAACAAGATTGGCCTTTAAATATGAATGTTTTGTCAGGTAAACATTTGAAAAATAATCCTGTTTCATCTACATTAAAAATATCGTCTGGTGAATAATTTTCGATGAGTTTCGGTAAATTATTTATCCATACGGAACATTTTTGTACATCTACAGCGCCACTTTCACCACAAACTTGTTTAAATACAACGCTATTTCTGATTTTCCAATTTGTTAACCATCCACTGCTAGCTTTAAAATATTCATGCCCTAACTTATGTCCAAACTCTTCAGCTTTTTCTCGTAGAATAGGTCCATTAATTGGAATTTTTCTGTCAAGACATTGTTGAAACCATTTTAATAAACATGATTCTATGTCAGAGTATTCTCCTAGTTTCATTTTTTTTCTAGTTGCCGAGTTTTCGTTAAAGTTTTTTAAAATTACATCTTTATTTTTTATTATTGTAGATAATGTACTCGCCGGAATTCCAAAATCTTTGGCTATGTCTTGTTTTTTTTTTTCGCCTTTTTCAATAATTTTAAGCAAGTTCACTTTTTCTGCAAGTGATAATGTTGTTAATTTTCTTTTTTGAGCCATAATAACCACTGATTAACACTGTCACACTCACACGATAAACGATTAACCGAACGAACAGACGGCAGAACTAAAACTGATTGTATCAAAGTTATCAAGAGTTAAATTACGGTCGGGTTTTACGAAAAATAATCGCCTTGATAAACTATTTTTAGTACTAAATTTGGATAAGAAAATTCGAGATATCAAAAACTTGTCAAATTAATTTTCGAGTTAACAAGATTATTTAAACATTAAGTGTTATTGTTATTTGAAGGGGAATTTTATTTATTCGAGATATCAAGAATTTCGAGTTATCGAGGTTCGAGTTACCGAGAGTCGACTGTAGATGTATCTTGCTTGGAGTTACTACAACAATTATCATATAAACTGTATTCTCTAAATATATTATTCCAAATTTAAAATATTACAAGTAAAACTATTTAAACATAATACATAATATATAGTAAAACAGAACGATATTCTGTTACTATGTAATTCATTTAGGGCTATAAGTTATTACTCTATTCATACTCATTATGCAATATTATGTTGATTTTATGTACCTATGTAATATTTCACTGCAACATGCGTAAAGTTACTAAATTTGTAATTCTAATATATCATATTATATATTGCTGTGATTGTTAATGCTTGCATTTGCTGACATTCAAAAATGATTACATATCTATGACCTTTACTTCAACAATATTATAATTATTATAAAATCATATTTATTCAATGTTATGGATATTATATAAATGTCACAATGTATCATTATTGCAACATAACTAAAAAATATTTTGAAATATTTAATAGTAACAACATAACATACAAGTAATTACTTCATATCTATGTGATATTGATTATTAAATACCTAATAATATTTACAATGTTATCCAAGATCTTTTAGCAATATTGCAATGCAGTTGATTTTTAGGGTATTCGATAAATAATACTTTTTTAATATTTATTTATTTTTTTATTAATCTCTTAAACTTTAACAATAATAATATTTAACTTATTTTATATTATACAAGTTAAAAATGCATAATATATGTAAAAAAAAACAGGGTTTCATATAAAATATCAATAATTTATTATTTATAAAAGAAATATAAAGGCAATAAAGAATAACAAAACATAGTATAGAAAATAAATAATTATAAAATTCAAATTACATTAAGAGTCATATTTACTACATATACAATGTATTATGTATAATATACATTCATAGATGCCTACTCATTATTAATTGTTTCATGCAATAAATGACTTAGTACAGTCATGATTGCTTTGTCTAAACTGGCTAAACTTATACTTGCTACAAAACATGTGTGCTTAATATCAGTAATGGATATAGTAAGACTTTCAAATACCAAATTAAGATTTAATAAATATGAGCCAATGGTTAAAGAAGAAAAAAGGGATGAAAAAAATTCTAAAACCCTCAAAAGTTTATTCACAATTAATTTAATATAGTTGACTTTATTTTCTAGGATACATTTAATAATTACCAAACGATTTTTTTTTAATATATTTAAACTTGTATTTTTCTTTTGATTGTTATTATTAAATTAAGTAAAATTATACCTGGTCTAGTATTAGGTTTAAATTATTTTGCTTAAATAAATTGATATGTTATCATAGTTAGACAACCTTAATTAAAATTATCTTTAAAGCATACCTAATACCATATTATAATATTATATTATGTACTATGCTAATATCACAGTGATGTATTTATAATTAATGTGTTCAAAACTCTAATTTAATTTTAAGTTAATAATAAAATTTATTTGTTTCATGTATCATGTAATTCTTGTATAAAATAAAGGTATTCATTAATCAATCAAAAATATTTCTTTTAAATTATATTCATTCAGAATTATCAATATATGTTTTAATGACTTTAATCGAGATTTGAGTTCACAGTTTGATTATTAGTAGTGTCATTCATTATAGAAGTCTAAAAATTAAATAAATTATATTAATAAAATAGGTGCTTAATTTAAATTGTTATATTTTGAGTAGATACCTATATTATTTTTATCAACAATTCATTATTTTAGAGTAGAATACATTTAAAAATGTATGAACTATCGTGGTCAAATTATATGAATAAGTTGCTGAGAAATAAAACAATTAAAACGTGTTTAAAACTATCGAAAGTAGGAATTTATCTGTAGAAACAGTTATTAGTTATTACTGTTCTATCTACAACCGCCAGAGTAGTCCCCCTCCACTTTGACTCCGTTTATTGTCGAATGTCGATCTCTCGCGTTTGGGTACTAGTGAAGAGAAAAAATTGTTGTTTAAAGTCTAGATTAATATAATAAATATTTTATATCTATAAAAAATGATGGGAATAATCGAATGATCAGTGAAAGAAATAAAAAAATAATTGAATAATCGAATAATTAGTAGTCAAAATAAAAATGATTAATTGACCGAATGTGATTCATTCGATTGAATTATTATTTACATTTTTTGAAGTGGTTATTTAAAATAATCGAATGAAATACTATTAGTGCGAAGTTTATAATGTTTAATATGACATTTGACATTATTGTTAACAAATGACTAATGTCTAACATGTTAATAAATGGACATTCCTATAATTTAGTATTTATTTTATTAATTTGAAATATACCTATATTATTAAATATCGTGAATTTGCTAAGTATCAAATAAAATTATAAGTTTAGGGCAAGAGCCCCTTACACACGAGCGATATTTCATAGTTCACTCTACCAGATCGATTACATTCATCGGATGATGTACCTGCCCATTTGCTCACCTTTTTCTCGTTATACATGGAGTTTTACAGTTATTGTAAACAAACATACATACATATTATCTATATATCAGAATTGGTCATTTAGAAAAATAAAAACAAAGCAATAGTAATTGGTCATTTAAATTAAATAAAAGTCTATCATTTTTAAGATCAATAATAAACAAATGTCTTAGAAAAAATTGATAAGGATCTTATAGAAATATCTGATACCCACTCATTATAAAGAAAAAGATTTAAATACAAAAATAAATATCTAGAAAATATCTTGTAGTTGTTTTCGGATGATATTCGTAATCTGTTTAATAAAAGAGTAAAACACAATAATTGGTTGAAATTAATTTAGATACAGTCATTGTGATTTCAATCATTAATTACTTATGTGATTTAAATTATCTCAGAAAAATGGTTACATAATTTAAAGACTTATCAGTGGCTCCAGGACAAGGAGAATTTTTTAAGACAGCTGCCCTTGTCCCCCTTGTAAAACAGGGAGATAAAAATATTATTTCACACCCCTTCTCCCATTTATCAACAAAAAAAAAAAAAAAAAAAATGTAAATAAAACTATATGTAATAAAAATTAATATTTAAATTAAATTTTAATTAATACTTATTAATTATAAACCCCTCACCAAAAAAATATTTAATATTGAAATTTCAAACATATAGATTTTAATGATTTGGTTATTTTATTAAAAAAGACAACTCAATTTGTGAAATATCTTACAGTAGTCCGTATAACATTCTGTATCCGGGACTCATGAAGCAGTTGTTATGATCCTATATGAGCGCTAGCGTAATGTTTGACCTCAACGCTATCCGCATTTACAGCATGAGTGACTTGCCACGATGATACGATGACAACCGTATGGGCCCTAGAACTGGAGGAGCCCGGAACCTTTGATAAAACAAGCAATAAACAAAATTGCAAATCGTAATGGTTAATACCTTTGTGGTATTATGTTATGCCAAGTATTAATGGGTAATAACACAAGCGACGACAACGGCGCGAAAGTGTAATATACATACATTAGCGGGTAAAATAATATCATATGATTTGATATGATTGTGATAACATAAAAATACAAAAAAAATGCTATATAGTATATTTTAAATTTTAATATAATAAAGTGCTTCTTTTTTTACGTGTCGCATGCCAAATTATTATGTATATCAGCATACATGCTTATTGTAAATTTAATTACAAATTGTTTGTTTTAAAATAAAGTTAAAAAAAAAATTTTAATATTCATATCAAATATCAAACTTATCATATTAAGCATCTATTAATTTCATAATTTATAAACGCAACAATTTAATTTATTTTTACTGTGTATACTTATATGTTTGCCAGTATATGATTAATGATTATTATAACTATGATAGTGTACTGGAGCAGACAAGCAATAATTGAGGACAATTATTTTTTGAAACTATTTTTGTTTGATAGTACTGTTACTGTCTGTCATTTCCTAAAAATCGTTATTGTCGACCAGCGATTTACCTTTCGTGCCTAACAGCGTTACATATTCGCCAAATATTCGATCAATGTTATGTCTTTGTAAGCTGTTAGAGGCATAATTATTATTGGAGAAGGAATAATCTTGTATATTTATTATTTAATTAGCATCACTTACACTATTCACGGAACAACCAATACTATTGTCTATGTGGAACACCGAATACTCTATTCGTCCACTGTATTGAGTAAATAATAGTATGTAATTGTCATAATCACTACTAGATTTTAAAATACTGTATTTTTTTCCATTTTGGGAGGATTTTTATGTAAGAAATATATTTATATCCACAAATGTCAAAAGCTGTAAATCACGTAAAACCTGGTTAGCACTATAGTTAATCTATTAACTAATATAATAAGTTAAATCAACAAAGTGTGTTAATTAATCCAAATACCAACCTTAGAAAATATAGTATAAATCATGTATATTAAGAAGTAAAAGTAAAAAGCTTTAAATATGTAATTGCAATAAATGATATAATGAGTAACTGTAAATACTCCAAAGCAGAAACCATGTAATTCATCCATATGATAGGATTGATAGAAAGCAGAATAAATGTTTAGATTATTTTTAAATAGTTTTTATTTAATTGAAACAACTACTCAATCCTAAATGTATATTAAAAAAATGACTATTATATAAATTATTATTTAATAAATAAGATATTTTAGATAAAATGTTATACATGTGAAAAAAATAAATAGGTTAATTAATAAAAAGTATGATTAAAACGTTATAGTTTTACAAATTGTTTTTATGGTGTTGCATTTTTTGATGTTGAGCTATCTTCAACAAGGTTCAATTTTTTTGGTATTACAGTATAACCTTTAAATTATTAAAAAAAAAAAAAAAAAAACAATATAATAGTAATTTAATTATTTTACAAACATTATTTTACAATAATTTAAGTTCTTACTTAAATAATCAGGTTCGTCACTATCATCATCAATTTCGCAGTCAATATCTGGCCCAACACCTAAAAAAAACAAAATTTGATAACAAAAGTAAAAATTAAAAAAATGAATTAAAAATGTAATCATACCATATGCCAAAAATTTTTTTTTTTTGGGGCGAGTTTTAATTTTTTTTGGTCTTTTGCGTGCATATGCTACAAAATAAAATAAAAATATTAATCAAAATTCTTATTTGCAATAGGGAGGTATATAACTTGCCTATATACGGTACACACTAAATAGTAAATATCTTGTATTTTTTTTGTATGTTTTTACATAATATTGTAACTGACTATTGTACAAATAAAAAATAATTCTAGTAATTAGTTAAAATTAAATGTTTCTATTTTTACTTGAATAATCGGGTTCATTATCTTCATCGTCAATTTCACAGTCAATAACTGGTCCAACACCTTGTAAAAGAAAATGTAATAAGACAATGAAAAACTAAACAATATTAATTATAAACATATTTTTACCATATGGTAAAATTTTTTTTTTGTCCAGTAGATAATCTTGATTTTTTTGTTTTTGTTTTACATTTTCTATGAAATAAAAATATCAATCAAAATTGTTATATATAATAAATTAATAACTTAAACATTAATGATGGTGCCTAAAAAATGATAATGATAATTTATAATGCATTTTTTGAATACTTTTCACTTTATATAAAAGTAACAAATATAATAGTAAATTTGCATTTTAACTTTTAAAAGCTATAAGATATTTCAGATCTTAGTACAATTTGTCACTTTTCCAACAATTTTAGATTGTAAAGTAGACATAATGACATTATTGTGCATTTCTAATAATAATGAACAATTTATTTTTCAAGCTATTTTAAAAAGAATGTATTTCTTATGCCAAAATTAATATTTTATTATGTATTAGCTATCAAAGCATATTAAACAGTTTTAGATACTTAAACTCCGAATAATCAGTAATTATAGTTTTAAAGAATATAACACTATGTAAGTTATCATAAATAGCAATAATTTTGAATTAAAGTAATAAAATTAAAATTTTATTTTAAATACTATTGCAATTGTTTCAAGTAAATGTGGTAAAAAGATAGCTTAACTTTGGTTATAAACCTATAAAAAATAATAAACTACGATGGCGTTGTTACAAGATAACCAACTTTACTAGGGACATTATACCTACATGTGTTGTCACCATTTTTAAGCAAGCTTTTGATGGTATTACAATTGTAAAGCAAATTAAGAGAGTTTTAAAATTGTGATACCTATTTTACATAACTAACACATGATCAACACGTTTTAGTACAATGTCCTCTTAATATAAATAAAAATGAAAAATACTAATTTAATTTATTGAACAATAACTTAATAATCAATATAATTAATATTATGTAATGGAAAATCTTAATACTAAATTTGATAAAATACTTGGTTTACTTCAATATAAATATACTTAAACTAAAACAAAAATATAAGGTTATTTATTTTATTTTAATGACAAATTAGTAGTGAAATTAAAGATAAAACAAAATACTGCAGCACTCATATTAATAATGGTCAACTATATTATATATTTTATTAGGTAATAAAAATTAATTAAAAATGATGGCATCCCTTTCAGATTAATAATGCACATTGCAATAGTGGTTTGCAACATATTTACTATGTTTATATTTTTATATGTATCTAATGTGTCTGAAGTACTTAAAACCCATATTAAAATATTTTACAAACTAGATAAAATATTATTAAAAATGTAATTCTTTTTAATATGATAAAAATGATATGTAGATCATTATATCCAATTTAGTCCTTAAATTTAATTAATTCTTAGAATACTTAATTCATAATCCAAATTATAATTAAGTATGTAAATAATCCTATTATAATCTATACATTAAATAGATAATAGTTACCTATAATAATAAAGATTAAGAAACAACAATATACAATAAATACATAGAATACTACATAACAATATTAGTTATTACCGTTCACTAATTACATACACAAAAAAATATTATGAAAAATATATTTTTATTTTTTTTTAACAATTACCTGAAAATTCATCTTCTTGTTTATTAATTTCTGGAACTTCACTACAACTGGGTTTACAATCTTTTTCTTCCATAATTATCTTAATATATAAAACAACCTAATTATAAAAATTACAAAATTAAAACATAATAAAATATAGTATATTTTTTAATTTTATATAAGCAAAAAAAGATTTTATGAAAATGTTTTGAATTAGAGCATTTTATTTGATACTTTATACTCAAGTAACATATTCCAATATAAATATGAAATTGAAGATATGAATGTTTCAATTTACTATAATTTTATCAAGAATTGTCAATATGATTTAAAGTACAAACTAGACTATACCAAAGCGTCCAAAGCAATTGCATTATCACTGTATGATTCAATATAGCTCTTGAAAGACTGATCAGAAATATAAATTAGAAGATCAAAAACTAAACCTCGGTGAATTGGATTTATTACTTTCATATGCTGATAACATAGTTAATATGAAAAACACAAGAGGTAATGTTATATAAACCACCCAAGAATTGCTGGAGTTGAACAAAATTACAAGGCTAAGAGTAAACCCACATAAAACTAAGTTAATGTGCACATCACAGACAGAGGTAAATAACTTAAATTTAAAAGTGTATAATATTATCTTCAAGAAAGTTAATCAATTCAGTTACCTCATAGTAAATATAAATAGTACAAATATCATGTATGATAAAATAAATAACAGATTAACAATCACTGCAATCAGTATTACAACTGGAGTCTATTAAATCTATTTAAATTAAAAAATGTATCCTCTGAATCAAATAAAACCTTAAAGACTAACTACTTAAGGTTAATATTAACAAATGGATATGAAACTTTGTCAACTACCAAGAAAAACAACTTGATTCTAATTATTTTTAAGAGAAAAATTTTAAGAAAAATCTATGGTACACTATACAATAGAGAAACAAAATAACATGAAAGAAGATATAATATTAAACTACAAACATTTTATGGAAGACCAAACATTCTCTTATGTACAAGAGGTAAAACACTTGAATAGTTAGGACATATTGTACGGACGGAAGGCAAAAATGAACAAATTATTAAACAACTAATGGTGGCAGAAATTAAAGGTAAAATATTTTTAGGCAGACTTAGAACAAGATGAAGGGACTCTGTCATGAAGAATTTAAAAACACTACAAGGAGTTCAGATAGACAGATAAAATGTTGTATAATAGATAAGAATGGTAAAAGTTTGTGATGGTGGTTTTGGACTTCAATAGCCCTTTTACCTGTATTTGATGTTGATACTTCAATTATTGAAAAAAAAAAACATACAGTGAAATCATGAAACTGTAAAAACTTCTTTCAAATACATAATTTTAGATAATTTGTTCATACAAATTGAATAAATAATTTATACATTTTTTAGCTAGTTTATTTAATTATCTACTATTTAATAGCAAATGCTGACTTTGAAATAGAAGTATGCTCATTTATCACATCATATTATAATATTTAATACTAAAAAGAGTTTTACCTACAATTTAGTATTTACTTATACATTTACACACTAACATATCAATAGTACTCATGAGTTACAAAATAAAGTAAGAAATAAAACAAAAACAAATTGTTATAGGTAAATTGTGTACAGTATTTCAATGTTTCTTTGTGATGATAAACACTATTTAGCTAGAGCTTTCACATACCTGAAGAGTTTACCATAGCTACTACCAATATTTACTAAGAGAATAGAACTAATATTTAAGCAAAATATGAATCCTGTGTGTCTATTTATTGAATAAGTGAATTAAAGTATTACATAACATCTGTTTAATATACCTATGGAACAAATTTACCAAATTTAAAATATGATGGTTAAAAACAAAAAATAAAGATTATTAAAAGCGGTTTTTTCTAAAACTTCAAATACACTATTACCAATATATTATACTAATGCAGTATACAATATTATATTTTACTTACCAGATAAATGTTTAAATATCAAGATTTGTAGAGACGTATTAGAAATAGAACACACACATACACATACATCCGAACGTCATTTGCGATATCGATATAAAATAGCACCTAAGTACTCAAATATTGACAATAATGAGCTGAATTTTAAAACACGAGAAACCACCAAGACCCCAGTTCGTCTAATTACACCGGAACTGCCTCGAGATTAGTTGAAAAATCAATAATAAAAATTGATCAGTCATCTGAACACGCCTAAGATTTATTATCTAACATTGAACGCGTAAAAATATTTATGTTATAATCACAGAATGTCAGAAAACACTAAGGTTTATAGATATTATTCACAAACCTTGAATAAATCTATATATACGTTCTATCTATTTAAATAGAGGAATAAATTAAAGGATTGGATGCGCGTTGCCGTTTAGAGGAAAACCCATATCATTATCTATCAAAAGAGCCGAAAGAGGTAAACAACGTAAAAAATTGTTTTCAATAATTCCATAAGAACAGATGTTTGTCTTGATAAATGATAATACGCGTCTAGACATTTTTGTTGATAATGCGCGCATGTGTACACCGTGAACGGATAGAACGCGCCACAAGTAGATCAAAGAGTAAAAAATAAAAATACAGTATCTTCTTGGATTCACTTGGACTAGAATATTCGTTTTTTATTATAGAATCTGCGTGTTTATCGTTTACTTGGAATAACAAAATAAAAATAAATTTAATTTTCGTTTACTTTTATAATTCGTTGATATCAAATCTTATTGACATGAAAAAAGCGTTCATGTGGATGATATGGCCCTGAATCAGGAAATCTGAGTACGATTATACCTAAGTAGTAGATACTCTGCAAGTGGATAGTTACTAAAAGTTAATGGCGTCTTCGAATGACTTTGAATGCGTTATTTGAACCTACCTAATTATCATACGAATAAATAAAAAAAAACCTTCCTAATTCGCACGGGCGTCCGGAGGGGGGCAAGGCACTTGCCCCCTCAAGAATTTCAAATTTGTTTTCCAATGTATTATCTGTAACGCGCCAATTTAGTAAGCATAAATTATTTTAATTTTAATATAACATATATTATATATTATAAATAGAAAAAAAATTATCTTTTACAATATATTGATAATTAATAATTATAAATTATAATTAATTACGAAACATAATAATGTTTTACAAATAAAATATACAAAAAACTCTTCATTTATTTTTAAATTAATTTTGCCCTCTCCCCTCTAGAAAAATGTCTGGTGACGACAATGCTGATTTGTTCTATATAATGTTCAATAAATATATTCGTATATTATAGATTTACAAATAACAAAACTTTTTATAATTATTCCGGGTTTTAATTGTAAGAAAAAAAAATTAATTGATGACGGGCATAAGATACTAATAAATGTTTATGTTTGACGATTACACTATTTAGCTAATATATTAGTAGTTTGAATTGTTTCTTTTTTAAATCATTTAAAATTATTTGTATATGAACTTGGTCTGGTATATTCATTTA